AAGAATAAAGTTTTGAAATAAAGTCTATAAAATTGGTATCTATGTGAAGCTTGGCAGTTGGAGAAGAGATTTTGTATATTTCGTTGATGAAGGAATTGCTATATTAGAGGAGCTATTTGGCCTTTTCGTTTCTTGCAGTGTGGCTTAGTCCATGGACAAGGGATCTACATGGACAAGATGCGAAAAGAGATTTTATTTCGATTTTTATAATTCAGTTATTGTTATTATTATTATTATTATTATTATTATTATTATTATTGTGATTATTATTCCATTGTGTTAATCAATTATTGCTGTTATAAGTTAGTTATTTTACTGATTTGGTGAGTTTAGCCAAAGTTTTTGTCAAATTATTTTGTGAAGTCATTATTAGAATTATAGTATTTGAAATTGCAATATTTTGAACTGATGAAGGTATTGAAAATGTGATTTGATATGGATTAACTACATTATAAGTTTTGTTGTATCTAATTTCAGTTTGAATAGCTAATTCAATTGTATTATTTAAAGTTGTTGAATTTTCACAGTTAACAAAAAAAGCAATTGATGAATTGAAACCTTTTGTAAATTCATAAATTTTGTAATTAGCTGGATAATCATTATTTGAATCAATTTTATTTAATAAGATTTTTATATTATTTACATATTGAATGATTGTTTCATTTGAATTCTAAATCTTAATGACTAATTGTTATCTCCAAGTCATAATTTGTATATTAGTTCTAAATTGGATCATGAACTGATTTTTAAAAGAAGTATTATCATTTTGAATCCAGGTTTGAGATCAATTATTATATATTTATTTTCGCTATTTATATCAATTACCAGCAATAAATTTAAGATATATAGATATTACTATAATTTTTCTTGTATTGGTCATATTATTTGCTTCAGCACAGTGATTGAATTCTTCAAATCAAGTAATTGAATCATTAGTTCTATTATCTTATAAGGTTAGTAATGATAGATTATTACATTCAGTTTGTTAATTTTGTTGTATAGTTATTGCATTAACTAATGAAGTAATAGCTTCAGACATATATCTAATTACTTCATTTGTCATTTGATCATTTTGTTGTGGTAGAGGTATAGGTTATTGTTGTATTTATTGTTAATTTTGCTGAGTTTGCTGTTGGGCTGGCTGTTGTAGTTAGGGTTCTGAAAAAAAGTCTGGTTCAGTTCGAGTTTGGTTCAGTTCGAGCTTGAATCAGACTCAAATCTGACAAAAAGTTCAGTTCAAAAATTCGAACCTAATTAAAAGTCTGGTTTAAATTCAGTTTGAATTTCGAATCAGATTCGAACCTGACCAAAAGTTCGGTTCGAGTTCAAGTAAATGTTTGTTGATATTCTAAGTAAAGTTGTAGATCATAACATGAGCTACAAATTGATATAAGATAATTAATATTTAGGATAAATATTTAAGAAGTTATATGGATTTAAAAAATAATTTTAATTATTACAATTTTAATCTACTTTAGTTTTAGTATAATAAATATTTATTTTGCTATAGTAATTATAAACTATAGTTATAAGTAAAGTTGTAGCCAGAAATAAGAGCTACAAATTGATATAAAATAGTTATCATTAATAATAATTATTCAGAGAGTTACATAGCATTTAATAAATGTAAAAATAAAAATACTTTAGTTATCACTATGTAAACTTTTAATTTTTACTAAATATCATAAATTGTGCTTATAAGTAAAGTTGTAGTTTATATTTAGAGCTACAAATCAGTATATAATACTATATATTAATCTTTAATCAAACTCGAACCAGATTCAAACTCGTATAATAGTTCAGTTCGAATTTTGAATCTTTCTTGAACTTAAGCCAAAGTCTGGTTCAAGTTCAGTTCAAATTTTGAACTAAACTCAAATCCAGACAAAAGTCTGGTTCAGTTCAGTTCATAGGAACACTATTTCATTATATAGATCAGTTTGCAGTTATTTTTTTATTGATAAGTCAAATAGAAGTGACTTTTTTTAAATAAGTTTCAACTATTTATATTTTTCTATTATCATTAATTGCATTAGCTTGATATATATTTTCAAAATCTTGTAATTATCTAACTGAATCTTGGATATTTTCATAAAAATCAGCTATTTTTGTATATTTAATCTTTTTATTATCTTGTTCCATAATAAATAAAATGCAAGGTAAGATTGATAATTATCTAGATTACAATTAATAAGTATATTACTACAACAACAAAGAAAGATCTAGATATTACAAAAGGAGTATTATTTATTATGTATTGATTGTATTAAATTAATCAACATAAAATCTAAACTAATTAATAATTACTATTAAATTAAGAAATTATAATGTAATTTCTAGTTTTGAATCTTTAATATTAATTTCTGTATAATCTGAATAATATCATTGTTGTTATTAATACAAGTGTTACTGACATTATTAATATTAATACAAGTTTAAGAATTAATAATATTTAAAATACACTTGTCCAATAAAATAACAGTTTATTAAAAATAACTATTCAATAAAAATATTATTAATTATAGTCCAATAATAAATGATAATTCCATTATCCAATGAAATTGTTCATCAAATATCATATTATGACAATATGTAAAAAGATTTTATAGAGTAGAAAATTTTTAATTAGGATTTAGTTAAAAGTATCAAAATTTATTAATTGAAACTTTGATATAGATCATTTAGTTTTATTAAACTAGCAAGCAATATTTCAAAAATTCTATTGGTTTTTAGCTTTCAGACAAGTATAGATATCATTGGTATTAGATTTTTTCATAAAGATAAGATTTCTTGTGGTTTTATAATTTTTGGAAAATAAAATTTTGAAGTTTTACATAAAGATTTGGTCTCTTTTCATTTAAAATCCGCGGGAATCTTTGAGCAATGGCTCTGAGCCATGGATTAATTAAATATTATATCTTTTCCACATTTTTTCTAGCCCGTCTATATGTATGTGACAGTGCATGTATATTCTTATGGTCACGTGCGATAATTTCCTATGAAAGCCTAACTTTAGTAACGTTAATGACACTGGATATCGGTTATAACGATAATTGATTGTATTTTTAATTTTAATAATTGTAATTTTATAATATCAATAAAAAATGTACAGTATTTAATATTATTACTAGGAAATGAAATTGCTAAATTATCGCGGTTTTTATGTAAATAAAACCTATATTACAGCCGGTCCCACTTATTCCTCCCGTTCCTGTTCTTTCGATTAACATTATTACGAGAGGGAGATGCGTGAGAAGAGGTGGAAAGAGGTGCACGAGTTTTCTTGATATTTTCCTCTCTAACTCGGCGTTTCATTGCCTCATTCTTCCGTAAAAGTAAATTAATATTGCATGAATAATTAATTGACTTATCTAAAAAAAAATAGTCACAATGTAAAATAAAAAATTTACCTGTAATTTAACTCTGATAAATTGATAAACTTCGTAAGTATGCTCAACGAGTAACTCATTCGGAAATATTTCATTTTCACCTATTTCATCTAACAATTCCTCGGAGATCTCAGGTGGCCATAAATTGAGCGAAGCATTACACAGATAAGATGAAAGCGGAACATTCGCATTAATTTGGTCATCAGAAAGATGTCGTACAATAAATCGTTTCAATGCAGTGGCAACCATTGCTGCGGGGAATTGTTTTTTGATTTGTTTGGATTGATGTTGTGTCATTGATTCAAATTCGACTATGTTCATAATCGCAAATTCAATATCTGCAGATATTTTTGATTTATACTTGTTATCGACAGAATCGACCATCAGATCGGCAACTTTATCTTCGACTAACTCGTATAAATCGACTATATGTTTAAGTTGCATTCCCACTTGGAAAATTTTATTCTCGGAGATTGATGATTTACTCATCCATTGTTTTATATATTCGGCTATAAGCATGTCGCGATCATCAATAGCAGTACGCTTCACAAAGCATAAAAGAATTTCCAGTGAAGAACGAAGATCTGATGGAGTTTCGAATGATAGGGAACCCTCTTGTCCATTATAATTACGTTTTATTTGAATTGGAATTGGTTCTTGTGGTAATAACACTTTGACCTCGTTTATTAATGTCATTGATTGATGGAATGATTCCATATGGTAAAGGAAGTTTTCAAGATATAAATTCACATCAATTGCTTCAATGTAAACTTTGTCAAAGACCAATTTACGCGCCAATTCCATTTCCATTTTGTGTAAATCGTATTCAATCTCTTCTCCATGAAGAACTTCAAGTTTTCTTTGACTAAATTCAAGTATCGCATCATCCCATTCATGATTAATGATATTAGATGGACGAATATTCTCAAGTCTCAAAGTTTTTAGATAATACAGAATATATCGATCATGTGTTGCTGTTGCGGAAGTTGATAGCGTATCAAAGTCTTGTTCACGGATCCCTTCTGTTTCCAAGAATCGTAAAGAAGAACAACTTCCGGGTGGAATTGTGACCACTTCTTGCAAAAATTCATTTTGTATGCTAACCAAAACATCCAATATAGCACAAAGGTATTGTGATTCCCCTTTAGGTTCTATTAAGCCATAGACAATAGAAAACTCTTCATTAATTGCAGGTTTCTGCTCTAGATCGTGGCATTGAAAACGTGTGACGTAAGGGATTACAGAATTCCACGCGTCTTTGAAGCCAGTAAATGCAGTTTCCAAACTGCGAGATTCATTTTCATCTGATTTATTAATAAAAGCTTGAAAGGTTAGCTCCCGAGCTTCTTTTCGAGTGATACGATGGCTTAATTGCTTTGAAAGTAGTTGAACAAATTTAATTATTGGCCTAATATTCTTTATGAGTCTCAATCTTTCCTCATACTTGAAAAATAAATCAAGGAATGGATATTTCACAGAATTTTGTGGATTCGAAGTAAAATATGCATGTAAATTTTCATATGTTGTATCGCGAACCTTTCGCCAAAGTCTCGGCAAATATTCTTGACTGTATTGTTCACTTATTTCGATTGTTTCGGAGATCTCCTTTTCGAGAGAACCGCTTCCTTGTTTTGCTGCAGTTGCTGCTGCTTCTAATGCTGTGCGAAGATCCGCAGCAGTTCCATTGACATTATTTACTAGTGGAACAACTAACTCGTTTGTAAAAAAGCGCTCCCACTGAACTCTCTCATCAGCTGTATTGAGCTTCACTGGGTCTAGCTTTGGTTCTTTGAGCATTTTGAAAAGAATAGCATGAAGTAATAGAGCCAGTATTTCATCAGAGCAATTAAAAATTCGCTTTAATATCTCCCAGTCATTTTTAATGTGATCCAGACAATATTGAACTGGGTCTGGAACATCAACAAAGAAAGTTTTTGCAATAGGTGGTGGAATTGATATTCCAAATATCACGTGAATAAACAAATGCAAAATACGATATGACGCTGGAATCATGGCGCGTACACTTGAGGATTGAACCGTGTTACAAGTTTCCACAATATATCCAACTTGATCTTCTTGTAAATTCTGTCTTAATGGAGCTGCATCTAATTTTACATGTCCTTCGGGTACTTTATGATCTATGCCTATATTTATAATCATTAAAAAATAGTTACTAAATAAGTTATCATTCTTAATTAATAATTAAATAACTTGAAAATGATGATACTTACCTCCGAGGGTTGTTTTGCACTCGGGACATACCGATTTATCATCATCACTTCCTGGCAGACCACAGTTACCAATATAATATATATAACCACATCTACATTTATATCTAATTTAAACAACAAATAAGTGTCTTTTATTATTCATAGCAATAAAAAAATGCGTAAAATATATAATTAATGACATTTACCGAGTGAGCCCAGTTCTACTATCTAATCTGTGAGTAGAATTAAGAAGAACATTTAAAAACATGGATTCCAAATCCGAAGGACATGTTAAAATGTAAGACTTTTGGCACTCTTGTAACCGATGTAAATAAAAGCTTAATGGTGAATGATCCGGAGGGAGAGACGCGTTAACAGCGATTATGTGCGTAATTACAGAGACCAAGAGCAATCGGGAATCTTCAGCTTGCGGGTTTAGGTGAATAAAAGGATGTTTATTATCGAGCAATTTCATGATGGTCTCCTTATAGACGGGTGAGAGATTCATTGGTTTTATTTGATCACTCAAATGGGTATATATTCGTTTTTCGCAATGTTGCAATTCTTCAGCTATAATTCGAGGTGAATGCAATCTCGCGAGAAGCAGCCCAATAAAAGCAACGCGTTCATCAACTCTCTGACTTTGCAAAAGACTTTTAAGTAAAGTGTCGAGTCGGGAATTATTAAAGACTGTATATGAAAACCTATATGCATTTTCTGCCTCGGTGTAAGCATCTAATGTCCAAAAAGGATTAATTGGAAGTCTGGTTCGGTTGGTATCATTACTCCAAGGAAGTTCAGAAATCCAGGGCAAAAGTCTTTGTTGAACCTGAGAAAACTGTTTGATTTGTTCTATTGAAAATCTAATAGATCGCAACTCTTTTAAAAAGTAGACCGCTAAAGAGTGTATCAATGGATTGGGAAGGAATAAAGATTGAGTGATGTCTTCGATTAAATTGACGGTTTGTTCAGTTTCCATGAAAGTAAATTGAACCTCCTGATTTAATGAATTTTCGAAAGAATCTATCGATCGCCAAAACTTGTGGACAAATTCTTTGAAATATGCAATAGATGACAATAACTGTAAAGGCTCGGAATTCTTGGGATCACACAAGGTTTCTATGGCTTGATGAAATCTCGATGCCAGATCATGAATTCCAAATGCAACAAAAAATCCTTTTTGTATTGTATCAACACATAATGTCGCCATTTGTGAATTGATGTCACCTTTTTTCAGGCATTCGTTGATTACTTGCAATCTGCTGGACATCTTTAAAGTCTCCTGAGGGTTTTCAATGAGGCTGAAGAATACACCTTCTTGTTCAATTTCTTCAGTTTCAAAAATGCGCAAAATAATTGATCCCATAAGAGGGAATGGCTTTTGAGAAAAGATTTTTTCATAAAGATATTCACGAATTGGTGAATCAAACTCAATGATATTCAAACATCGCAAAATGAAAGATTGCCGTGGTGAATTCGAATGAGATTCTTTTAATTCTAGTTTATCTAACAATGCGAATATGGCGTTGATTGTTTCAATTGACATTAGTTCATCGTGCGTATTTCTTTGGGAATTATAAATAATTTCTCTAATTTCGCAGAGAGGAATTGATTTTGCGGAGACCAAATCATTACAAATGCGCAATAGATTAAATGATTGTGTGTTTGAAGATATTGAGAGTTTTGAGCAAAGTAGTAGGACGATGTTAACGAGACGTTGCCAATTTCGAATATTTTCTTTGTGTTGTATCTGAGCTTCTTCATTCTCATTTTCTTGTTCTTCGTTTGCAAGATCGTAGAATTTTTCAAAAATCATATTTATTACTTGCAGCAGAAGATAATCTTCAAATTTTTCAGAAATGAAATCCTTTTCGTCGTCATCGTCATCGTTATCATCTTCTCTTTGAATGTCTGTTTCTCTACCTTTTCCTTTATCTTTCTTCTCTTCCTCCTTCTCCTCGTCTTCGTCATCATCATCATCGCTTTGAGCTTCAGTCTCTTTGGTGGAAAGTAATTCAACCATATTATAATGTTCACTCTCGTCATTGTCATTGTCATCGTCTTCATCGTCTGCATCTTCCACAGTGGTGTGAAATGTATCATTTTTCTCTTCCTCTTCTTCGTAATCAGCAATCTCTTTGCCTTTTCCTTTGTCATTCTCTTGTTTGTCTTCTTGGTCACCAGTATTATCCCCGAAATATTCATTTGATAACATAGTTTCTACAACGTTTGGGCATAGTTTTGCGAGATTTAATTTGCTCGTCATAGAATCGCCATTATTCCACCAATAGATATGAAGCTTTATGGGATTATACATATCATTTTCGGAAAGTTCAGATCTTACAATATAGGCCATTAGTTTTTCAATGTTGTTGCCAATTATTTCGGATGACAGGATTGTGATAAAATCGTTATAATATGATTTCATGGAATGAACTAAAAGAGGAGAACGAAGTGCAGGTACAGCCGCCAAAATTTTCTTTGTGAAACTATTTTGAAGATTTTCCATAATATGCTTCAAAAGCCCTGATTCTTCATCAAGATTATTATCATCCTCAGAAAGCAGCGACACTTCTTCTCGGTAAAACTTTTCGAAATTGTTGATGCGTTTGAAAAAATACAATGAGAATGGGAAACGTAATTTGTGTTGAGCATTGGCCATTATGAACGTATCCGGTTTTGGTTCCTGTAGTAAGTCGATGTTTACAATTCGTTTGTCCATAAACATTTCACCCCAAAATGAGGACAGATTGTTTTCTTCAGATCCATTATCGATTTCAAGAAATGTTCGTATGGCAGATAATCGCTCAAGACTACATAAAATTTTGGCGATCGGTTTGCGAATCGTTTCTCTAACATGAGATTGAAGTGCGGCTAATAAAGACGAGTACAAGTATAAAGATCTTTTGTTGGAAGCCACCTGCAATTGCCAATTATTAGAGTCACAATCTAATAAATATTGTTGCACTCGTGCCTTTATAATATTTATAAAATTCGGGTGGTTTGGTATTTCTTGAAGTAAGTGTCTTAGATGAGCAACTGATTTTGGCGTCGAAGGATATTTAATACAGGATAAACACCACAAAAGTTCTTCTTGAAAGATATTTTGGAATGGATATGAGAATTCAATAGTATCACTGAGATTGCCATTGAGCAAATTAGACAAGGTATTCTCTTGTGGAGTAAGTAGCTCGATAGTGATTTGTTCCCAGCCGCACATAAAGCTGAATGAACAAGAATTAATTTCATTTTTACGTTGAGTATGAAGAATGATACACGCATGTTTGTTAGGTTGCTGATGACGAGCGAGGTATTCTGACCGGAGTTGTTCTATAATAAATTTTGCCAATTTGATGCATCTAGTTTTCGATACTGACACATTACATTGCAAAATCAATAGCTGCGAATCAGATTCTAACCAGAAATGCTTTATACGATTTTGCAGTTGAGCTTCTGTCTTAAAGGTGGATAATTTTTCAATTTGACATGTGACTAAATCTTCCAAGATTGATTGCACATCCGTGTGAATATTGGAAAAGGTGTTTATAATAGTTTGGTGGCTTTTTGTTGCAAAATTATCGTTTTCCCTTCGTAATAAATCTTCAAAGTAAGCATAAAGACTGTCATGTCTTTGATGGACAAGGTAGAAGTTTTTCCAATATGCCACTTCATTTCGATCTGCGGTGGCCAAAACCGACTTTTCAGATCGAACTATCCCATCAGAGGTTGCAATCGAAATAAGAGATTCTTTACACTATAAATAAAATGCATAATTGAGAGATTAGATTCTATTCATCATTAAATTTTTGCATTTTTACGTACCTTCTCCATAATAGATTCATTATCTAGATTAGGATTTTTTTGACAATTATCAATGACCAAACTCTGCACAGTTTCCTCGGCATTAAACCCGATAAACATATCATTTTCCGAAAAATCCATTTCTGCCAACGTTGAAATTTGTCGAACCCAAAAAGCAAGAACCTCTACAAGATGTTTTTGATTTTCGTTAAGCGTGTCATTCATATTCATTCGTTGTTTTTCAAACCGGTTGAGAAGAGGAAGATCCGCAAATTTTAGCCTCGTCTCATCCATAATCAAAATACATCGAAAGTTTTCGTGTACAAAACACATTGGATTTGAGTAGGCTCCTAAAGCTACTCGAGTGAAATGCTTTGGATCTGCCTTTGTACCAGCTTTTCAGATATTATAGAAAGAATTCATTTCAATTAAGAAGCCAAAAATATTTTAAGCAAAAAAGAATGCAATTATCGAGACATAGTAAATAGGTTACCAGTATAATAATTTTGATTCCACAAATCGTAAAGACTCCCTATATGATTGGTCATTGATAAGATGATTTTATAATATAAACTAAATCGAAACGAGTTAAAGAGAGTATTATTACCATATATTGGTTCCAAATCACTTAAAATTAAGGGACGACCAGCTTCTACACACATCTAAAAATTATTTTTTTTTTATTGCCAAATTAATAACATGTAAAATAGATTAAAAGACACGAGATGCCAAATAAATTAAATGATAGATTGCAAATGCATAAATAATATACCATAATTCTTTTCAGAACAGCATATGAATAATCTTCCTTGTCATCCGGAAATTGGGAACCGCAGATTACCTAACGTTGTTCGGTGAGATTTTTAAATTGATTAAAATAAATAAAAATTATTGATTTTTTTATCTTTTATAGTTAATTTATTTACCACTGGGTTCAAATTTCTCTGACGCAGTTGATATGCTAAAATATCTATTAAGGAGTCACTTTTCCCAATAACCATTAGATGTCGAGCGTTTTTGTCATCTAAATTCGCGTTAATTAATTCATCTACCGGAATTGACCGGTAATCGTATGTGTTACCTAAGAATATAAAAAAACATTCAAAAAATGGAACTCGATGATATCTATTATATTTGTGACAATTCAAAATTACCATTGAAACTCCTTAAAACTCTTCCAAAGTATTTTTCGCACAATTCCTGCGTTTTTTCAGTGCCTCCAAAATTACGGACCAACCCTTCTTGTATTTTACTCGCTATATATTATAAAATAAAATAAAATAAAATAAAATAAATAAATAAATAGATAGAAACTAAACTTATTTGAACAAAATAAACCAAAAAATTGCCTGTAAGTTTTCCATTTAAACTCTTTATTAATGCATAATAATCTCGTAAACCTAAATGATATGTATATTAATTTGATTTCGATGAAAAATTCGGCATTATTATAATTTATGTACTTACCATGAAAATTAGGATAAACTGGATTTTGATCTTGATCTTTCTCATAAGCTAAATAAGCATCAGCTAAAAATTCATATTTCGATTGGTTAAAATTATCTGCTTTATTCCCGAGTAATATTTTGCTAAATAAATGGAACGTGGAATTATGTTTAATAAAATTTGTATTTTAACAATTCGTAAATTATATAAAAAGATTATAAAACCTTGTTTCTAATAAATCATCTCTATCAAATTTAGGTCGTTGGACAAGAAGTGCTCGGCTTGATTTACTATTGTCTAGTCGCCAATTACTAATGCCAATAACGGAAACTTCAGGACAATCTAAAAATTTTTTTGAATTTTCTGGATCAGAATCCGACTCCTTTTCGTCCTTTTCATCCTCAGCATCCTCATCCTCCTCTTCACCACGAAAACTTGGTTCCAGAAGTGAGTGCAATACTTTTAATGGATTAGATGGACTAGTTTCGGCCAAACCAACTAATAATCCAAATAAATTGTTAATTTTATGGCATTATTTGATCTTTCTATTTTATATTTCGTTAATGCTTGCCTTCGTCCAATAAAACAACAGCGTTTACTTTAAACTCTTTGGAACTAGTCTTTTGATAATTATGAGCCTTATCAAAGACTTTGAGAATACCCTCCGAGGTTGAAGATGATGAGCCTTGATGTGGAACAACATACACCTTAGATAATATAAAAATAAAATTTATAGAATTTTTATTAAAAACGCCTCAAATTTAGATTCTGTATTTAAATAAATGTTAATTACCCCAGGTAATTTTCGAAAATAAGGGTCGCTGGAATCCGTTCCACGTAGATTTTGACTAATAAGTCGCATAGCCAAGGATTTTGAGCTTAAAAAACAATTATAGCGATTTTATTTAGTTATAAAATATATTATTCTTTAGAATTGCAGTAAATATAATTTACCTTCCGGGAGCTCCTATAATAAATACTGGTATACGTGTTAAAATGCTCACTATCATCACTAGTATATTTTCTAAAAGCGCTGAATTTGCAGCAATAGAAGGTCCAATTGTCATACGATCAAAGTAATCTTGTTGTTCTGCTTTGATGATGATATTAAAATCTTCTGAAGACATAATAATTTTCTTTGCTCGAAATATGGCAGCCATTTTTCTGCGATACAAAAATCGTAAATCTTTCTCATACAACCTCGCCTATCAATAGAATTATGTTAATTCACGAAAAATACGATAGTTCATTATATAGATATTGAAGAGATTAGAACCTGATAACATAATCCTAAGGCAAGGCAGCAGCAACGAACAAAAATTGAAAAGTTTGCTAAGCATGGGTGGTTATTTTTGTACTCGTATTTTTTTACATTGTTCAGATTTGCCCTTTCTTGAAATTCTTCTACATTGTTCAGATTTGCCCTTTCTTGAAATTCTTCTACATTGTTCAGATTTGCCCTTTCTTGAAAGCTATCATAAAAGAATCTAACGAGTTTTATGGCACGTTTTACGTCACGCAAACTGACACTATATGGCTTTGAAAGATGAGATGACAATTATTAGTCAACTTTATAATAATGATATTGATAATTAATACTTTATACATTAGCAATTATTAATGTTATTACCTCTTCCGTCTCCCGAATAAATTGTTGAGATTCCGACAATAGTTCAGGAAGCCCGCAATCAGTCGCCCATTTCCCAAGCGATTTAACCATAATTTGGATATATAAATATTCGTCTTTCCGCTTCAATATGCCATAATCCCAGACATAATCCAAAATTTGGTCGGGTAATGGATGCACTTGATATACCAGATTGTTTCGTTCTTCATACCGTGATTGCTTTGTCTTCAACCCGGCACTACTTTGAGCTTTAACGCGCATTCGATAACTATCATAGAAAATTTTTACCTTATTAATAATAGTGATAATAGTTAGACTAGTAGAAAATTTTAACTTACGGATTTGCTGCCGCAAATAAGCGAATATTGTGATGAATAAGTTTTCCGTTGAGTGTTCGATGCGCTATCAGATCAGCGAGGATCCCAATATGATTACAAGTGTTAATTTCGTCGAAAAACATCCACACTTCTCCTTTTTTGGCTTTCTTAGTGGCTTTACTGATAGACTCTAAAATTTTTTCTTCTTGAATTCCAGCATGTAAATTTAATGCTTCAAATTCCACTTCGACCATCATTGACAAGAAGTGAATGAGGCTGGTCTGTATAAATCAAAACAGAGTAGATAAGTTAAATTATAATTCTTACTTTCGAATTATATCAGTAAAAAAAAATTATAAATACTTTGCCACATCCAGCCTCTCCGCATATAACTACTGGTATATGAGCACGTGCTCTTAATAAGATAAGAGACATCTTTAGAAGATTGTCAGCTGATAAAGCATATGATGGCAATATCAATAATTCCATCGATTTTCGTGCTAGTGATTCCAATCTATTAAGTAATATTTCTGGTGACATTTCATGATAATCTTCCAACTCGGAATTTCTACGAGCTTGCTGGCTTTGTAATAAAGTTTTAACGTTGGCTGGAACTTTTTCCCTGTCACTATAAAACGCCGCAATTGAATCGGGTGGTTGCGATAAAAACACAACTAGTAAATGGTTTGACTCTTCCCATGCTATCGGCATAAAAGTAGTGGATCAGTGAGGGAAAAATTAAAACTAGAAATTAATGATGCAGTATATAACTTACGTAAAATAGCTCCCAATCGCGCAGTATCAGCTTCGGCAATATTTTCCGATTGAGCTGCTTCCTTATTTTCTAATTGTGCTATTTTTGATGCTATTGATCGTGTTGAGAATTCTTTGCCTGTTTCGACGAACTGTTGCACCAATAAAGAACGAATATCGCGTTCTCTTTCTCCGACCATTAACTTAATGTTTTCAACCTGGAAATATGTGCTTGCTGACATACGGATCAACTGATCAGCTAGTACATTTGCAAAGATTTCTATATAACGATATGAAGATATGCTTTTGGCATTTTCATCGAAAAAGTATTGATCTAGTAATTCTTTGCAACGATTGGCTGGAATAGGGTCACCCGTTGAAAGAGAGATGTCTGTCTCATTAAGAGTCCCACGGCTATATGCATCCAGGTATCGAGCTACCACCTGTATGGGACTTGTTGGCTCAAGCGATACAATAAAATTATTGTCTTTCCAATCAATTTCTTCATTGGCGAGATAACTAGTAAACGGTAGTGAGTTAAGAAGATATTGATCCACAGTAGATGCCACTTCAATAAATATGGATGTCTTTGGCAGCTCTGCAATATCCACTTCATTTGATACCATTCCCAACGTCAATAATTCAAAGAGGAACCTATTCAATTCACCCGGATGGTTGACAGATAAAATATTGAGATGCAAACTTTCAAATTTTCGTAAATTGCTCTCTTTCAATTGACGCACAAGTTTCCCAAACTGAACGTCATCACTGATTAGAAAACTTCGTGGTATTAACCCTTTCGCCATACTCGCTTGACGAATCCATTCGGTTTTACCTTGTCCAGACAAATCTGATGAAACACAGATCACATCTTGACAAATTTCGGCATAAATATTAACCATTGAACGCGCATCGAGACCATTTGTTATATGATGTTCGCGAAATTGGTCAAGAATGTGATGATGTATTCCACCTTCTGGGCAGCAAACCAATGCCAAATTATATTGCTCCTTTGTTTCGCATAATACCCGTATATCATTTACTAAATTGAATTGTAGCTCAAAATCAAGAACTTCCAGATTGGCGATACAGAATAATCGTTTTTCTGAGTAATTTTTGTGATAATAAAGTTAGTTTATAAGATGAATATTTCGTAAAAAAAAAAAAATAAGAAAATAGTATTAAAATAAAATCTTACCATATCCATTACTCGCTGCGAAAAAACATCTTTTAGTAAAAAGAGAAAGTTCTTCTGCAGTTGTAGATGAGCGACATATAAGAATTTGCCAAGGTTCCGGATAAGTTTGATAATTAGCAACAAGTGACATGATTGTGTTTTCCATGCGACTTTTATCACAAGAAGCAACAAACAATTGACCAGACTTGACTACGTCAGAATGAATACAATCTATTGCTGCATGAATGTCTCGATTTCTTTTTGGAGTAGCTTCAAAAATATCGTGTAATATTTTTCCGATTTCACCAAAGATCTTATCAAAAGACACTGTCCCATAATTGGTTTGGTTTTTGTCTGGTGGAGGTAATTTTGCTTGTTGATTGACATATTTCAAGAGAATTTCACAGTTATTTTTAATTTCAAGATCTTTCGAATCTTCGAAAAAATAATCGTAGAAAGTTAAAATATGCCGTGCTGAATAAAATGTCAAGTAATAATATTGCTCTTGTGCTTGACTGATCGTCGTTTCCCTGTTGAAAAATAATAATGAGTTTAGTTTTAGAACATAGTAGTAAAAACAAGGAATACGAATTCAAATGTTCTACCAATCAGTCAAATCATCGGTAAGCTTTTCGAGCAATCTATCAATTTCTCCTTCATTGGCAACTTCAACTTTTTCTTGAAATTCTCGATATAAAAAGTGTCCTAATTGAATTAATTTTGATGCTACCTTTAAAATTTCTTGTACCAAATCCATATAATGTACAAAAGTACTAATACAATTCTCATCGAAATCGTCTTCATCTTCGTCATCAATTGCCATTGGTTTAGCAGTGTTAGCGGACTTTGCAATTAATAAAGCACGTCCTCGCAAATCTAGTAAATCGTTAAGCGAGTATTGTTGGGCAAGTTGGTCGCCCTGCCGGTTATAAGTTAACAATACCATACAATTATCTTCTTTTGCTGAACGTTGAAATTCATAAATTCCTATCGTAACTGCATTTTTGATGCGTTTTTTAGTAACTTCCCCTTTGCTTAAAATATTATTACACATATTTTCTAATGCAAGCCTATGCAAATTGCAAAGAGAAATCTTTTTTGATAATACGGGATTCTTGTCTGAAATTGATGTTAGTTCTTTGATAAAAGCCTCGATGCTCGATATTTCTACAATTTTCAATAGCAAATAATAATTAATGAATATTCTGGATGAACAGATCGATAAAATAGTTTCTTTATAGTACCTGCACCAGCGTCAATAATTGGAAGCAAAAAATGTTTGACTTGAATCAAAGAAGACACTGTATCTTCTTGAATTAATCGCTCATCTGAATGATCATCGACGGCATTAATCAAATTTTTCAAATCGTGTGTTGCAATCTTCTTTAAAAATTTAATAAACTCTTCCGCTATTGAAAGTTCCTCGATTAAAGACCAACAATTGTCGCTAATCCCTCCGTAGACTTTATTTACTTCTTTTATAGTCTGTGATAATTCTCCAAATGATATTTCTTGATTCTGAATATTTTTCAATAGTTTAGCAAGCCTTTCTTGACTCTGACTGTTTTTCCATAGTTTTGCAACGATCCCGTCTTTTTCACTGACCAATGTTTTTGCAGCTTTTGTTCTTTTGAATTAAGGTAAAATTTTATTAAGAGAATATCTTATAAATAATAAATAATTCATAAGAGGAGACTTACAAATTTTCAAGACGATCTTTCCACTTTGGAACGAATACAAGATCTCTTATAGAATCTTTTAACTCCTTAGGTGATTTCAAGTACTTCATATTTGATAAGAATTTCAATTCTTCATCGATGTTCTTTGTGTTTCCCCAAAGTAGGAGTGCATCAGAAACTTTGATCATTTTCAAATTATTACATTTTTTTATTAAATTCTCATATTTTATCAATGCATTTGGCATAATGTCTTCTGCCACGGTTAGGACCGACAATTCCTCGGTTTTGCTTTTCAAACAGGATTCAAAAACATTCGAAAAAGTTTGCGAATTTATGAAGATATTTGATTTCTCTGCAATATTGAGAATTGGATCATGGATTTCCCAATAATCTGAAATAAAAAAAAAGGTAAAAAAAAAAAAAAAAAATAGTTAAATTATTTTGCTAATTTATCGTACTCAATTTTATATAATTACCTGATGATGACAAATCACTCAATGTGATGTCTTCAAATGATTGTATCCGGTTATCTATATCTTTGGAATATTCTTCAGCATCAATTAATTTCGAGTCCGAGCAGAAACGAGTATAAAAGTCGTTTAAATGCCTAAATCTGTCTTCGAATCCTATATATTCTTCACGAACAGCTTGAAGCTCATTTTCAGTGATTTTAGCTTTGTAATTTTTGACAGCTCCAAAATACCGAACTAGTTTCTGATTTGAATGCTTTAACACATTTCGAAGCAGTGTTATTTTGATAGTACTTTCTTTGATCGTTTCGGCCAGCTGAACAATGGTAACTTTAACTTTTTGTATAAGCATATTAGAATTTAGGCGTTTCACCGTGCCAGTAGCTTGTAAAATAACAACCCAAAAATCAGAGGACTCTAGTAAAGCAGCATGAAAGTTATCGGAAACAATCTTCCCGGCGGATGACGAGTCAGAAATTTGTTTCTGTAAACGATTCATTATATAAAGGAGAATTTCATCGGATAGTCTAATTATTAAAAGAACAGACAATAATAAAAGTTAGATATAATTCGATTTCATGAACACTAAGAAGCGAGTAAAACTTTTATAAACTCACTTATTGGGAACTTTTAACTGATTTTGGTTATCACAACCACAAATGTCCATGATATGTCCCAAAAGTTTTTGATCGCTTTTTTGAACTACATCGTCTAAACGTTTCTTGATCATTCTCTCGAAACAATCTTGAACTTTTGTATGCACATTATTGCCAATTAAAGAAGTTGCTCTGAACACAAGGTCATGGTTGTAGTGTTCAGCCTGCTTAATTGCAATAGCTTGCAAACGGTCAGTTATCGACTCGACTTCCGCAACAATTGGATAGATTTGTGAAAGATAAAAGAACATCTCATTGACAACGTTTCCATTGGCTTGGCGTCCCGCTACATTATCAATAAGGAGCATATGTTGATACCATTTGGTGCAAACGGTGGTTAGTTTTCTCCAAAAACTTTGTTCTTTAGATTCAAACACAGATTCCATCATATTTTGCAAAAATCTTGGGAAATTTTCTACTAAATGAAACTCTCGAGATTTATTGACGAGATCCAAAGCTCGAAACGCGCTATCTGTGGTCCAAAAAAGCCTATCTTCGCATAATAAGCGAGAAATAGCATCAACACTCTTTTTGGTCCAGTGATAGTTTTGATTATTTAAAATTTCAAAAACTTTGCTTCGAATATTCGGTGCTACTAAACTATTAAAGTCCTTTGGCATTATATCGAGACACTCGAGCAAAGCCTCAGCATTTTTCGAGGCAATTAACTTGTAAAAATGTTCACGCACGTGATCATGGAAATCTGAATAAAGAAAAGAATCTCTCGTGAATTCCGAGCGAATTATATCTTGCCATAAAAAGGCAACCATGTCGATGGTTGTGGTGAGAGAAATAAGTTTCTAGTTTATTGTAAAAGAAATTAATATTGAATATAACAAAATCAGAAATAACTTGAGAAAGAAAAGATAAATTACCTTGACTATATTCATATAAACGTTAGTTAATTCTAGATTATCAATTACTGGCTTTACCTTGTTTTCTAAACAATCTTGAAGTAGTATTGAATTATTTTCGTCACATTCCCATTTTTGTACATCATTCAAAAAATTGTAATTAGGATCGACTACAGGCGCCGCAGCAAATAAATTCATCCACTCAAATCCGTTGAATTTTGGTGATGAATTTTGTCTTACTAGAGCCGAGATCGCAGGCGAAAGTAAGTGTGGCGAATTAGTAGGCAATGAGTCCGAAGTAATTTTACTGAGACATTCTAGCAAAGGAATAGATGGAAAAGATTCCGGAAGTTTAAAGATATCTTGAAAGTTGTGATTTGCATTATGTTCTATGTGGTAGCCTAAAAGTATGCATAAAAATATTTTTTGATTGGATGTATTGACCTCCCTCGCATGATTCTCAATAAAATTCAAATTGGTGGTAGAGATTATTAAATTTCGATATGCTTCTCTTAATGATTGATATTCCATTATCTTATACTTTAGATTATCTTCACTCAAAGACGAGTAAATGTCTTTGACAAATAGACACTCTTTAAGATTTCTCATAGGATATTCAGAATTTCCCATCCAAATATCATAATAATTCTCTTTTCCTAAAGTTAATACTCGATTATCTTTTGGACCAGAACCTTCATAAGACGCTGTGGTTTCTTTTTTGCCTATCCAAGAAGATCGTGTCTTCAATATAGCATATTTATAATAGACGTTTTCAAGTTTAGCTAATGAAGACATGGAAATTTTGATAGGCTCTGAAATCCAATAGCCAACGCCATAATAACGAAAAGTAACGCAAATATTTTTCCATTCTCCCAATTCGGGAATATTTCCAAGTACAGTAATTTTGTTCTCCTTTTTCAAACTTGATGGCATATGAACATGAAAAGATACTGCGAAATATTGTTCATAATGGCTTTGCTCTTGTTCCATTTGTGGCAAATGATTAGCAACTGAATCTTGACGATTGTTGAACTGACTATTATTATCTCGAGTATTGGGACTAGAAGCAACATTAAGATTTCTTTGAGAAACATTTTTGGAGAGATCGATTGAAGTTCGATTATTGATTTCTTTAGATTTTTCTCCCCGATTTCCAGTCAATCGAAGGGATGAAGTATCATGATCAGATGAATGACCGTATGGACGATCAAGTTGATCTTGTTTCATCGGTGGTGAATAATCAGTAACTGAATCGGGACGATTGTTGGACCTTTTATTGGGATTAGAAGCAACATGTTGATGATCATTGAGATTTCTTTTAGAACTATTTTTGCTGAGTTCGAGTGAAGTTTGATTATTGATTTCTTCTTGTTTCATTGGTGGTAAATAATCAGTAACTGAATCTGGACGATTGTTGAACCTTTTATTGGAATTAGAAGCAACATGTTGATGATCACTGAGATTTCTTTGAGAACTATTTTTGCTAAGTTCGAGTGAAGTTTGATTATCGATTTCTTCTTGTTTCATTGGTGGTGAATAATCAGTGACTGAATCTGGACGATTGTTGAACCTTTTATTGGAATTAGAAGCAACATGTTGATGATCACTGAGATTTCTTTGAGAACTATTTTTGCTAAGTTCGAGTGAAGTTTGATTATCGATTTCCTCTTGTTTCATTGGTGGTGAATAATCAGTGACTGAATCTGGACGATTGTTGAACCATTTATTGGAATTAGAAGCAACATGTTGATGATCACTGAGATTTCTTTGAGAGCTATTTTTGGTAAGATCGAGTGAAATTCGATGATTGATTTCTTTAGATTTTTCTCCCCAATTTCCAGTCAATCGAGATGATGAAGCATCATAATCAGATGAATAACCATGTGGACGATTAAGTTGCTCTTTCTTCATTGGTGGTGAATAATCAGTAACTGAATCTGGACGATCGTTGAACCTTTTATTGGGATTAGAAGCAATATGTTGACGATCATTGAGATTTTTTTGAGAAACATTTTTGGAAAGATCGATTGAACTTCGATTATTGATTTCTTTAGATTTTTCTCCCCGATTTCCAGTCAATTGAGGCAAAGTATTATTAGTATGCGAATAGAAGTTATTTTTTTGCTGAGATTTAAAATCAGCTAAATTTTCCTTCGTATTTGTTGTTATTGGAGGAATATGACGATTAAATGGTGAATGATCTTGACTATATTGACGATCATCGCGAATATTCGAATGGGAGTTGTCTTGATCCGGGTATTCAAAGCTTGTGATGGGATTTTTTGTAGGATTTGACAAATTTTCTTTTTTGGTTTCCTTAGATTTTTCCCTTTGATTTCTTGTAAAGGACCAAGTATGATCAGTGGAGAATCTATGATCATATGACTGATCAGGACGAGTATTCGAATAATTGTTAGAATTTTCTTTATGATCTGTTGAACTTTGTTTTATAGAACCCGTCATATTTTCCCTCCGATTTGTAGCATATTCAAAATATTGCTGAGTATTCGCTTCAAGTTGACCAGATGGATCAAATGAACTCTGATTAGGCTCAAGCCAAGAGGGACGAGCAGCGATATTTTTCACACCTCTAGTTTGCGCAACTGACTTGGGAACTGAATCTCCAAGGAGATACTGTTGAAAGTCTGAAAAATAATCAGAGTTTGCCAATTCTTCTTTTTCATCATCGTGAAGATATGGATTTTGTGTTGATTTACTATTTTCGTTAATTGTATTTGTTTTAAATTGCCCAGCTGAGACAGGAGAAGCAATATTTTTCAAATCTCCGGTTTGTTCAGGCATAAAGGCGGCTGCATTATTCGGGACTGGTTCTCCGAGTTTATTATCGGAAGAATGATAAATATCTGACCGATTGTCAGAAGTTATCGATTTTTGTTCTTTACTTTCATTAACGTCAGGATATTCAAATCCTCGATGATTTTCATTATCTTGAGTTGATTTATTAGCTTGAGGATTTGGAGTTTTCTTATTTTTTTTAGACCGCTCTGCTGGTACACGCATTTTTTAAAAGAAACTCTCTCATACACAATAAAGGTAAATGTGTCCGCTCTCTCGTTTCTTTGAGAAAAAGTTCAGGAGGCGCAATAAATTTCCCACCTTTTACCACAATAATATATCGTCATATGACTAATTGAAATATTGCAAGACTTGCATGATTATAACAAGATATTTCATTCCCACGCCAAACCTTATTACATTCTTGGCAGAGAATTATTATATTTGACCAATCAGAGCATCATCAGATGTGCTAAAGGATCATGAGTTATTTCTATTTTCATGAATTTTATATACATATTATTGTCAATTTTCATGAATTTTATATACATATTATTGTCAATTTTTTGCCTCGTTGAGACGGTTTATCGCTTTATAGAAGATGATAGACGATGTTTGGCCATACTTTTAACTAACGCTAAGATACAATTAATTAATCCACCTTTTATATTGATTCCCTCACTAATAAGTGATTTTTTCCCACACAACCCATTATTTATTTATTTATACAACTACCCTTAAGAGCACCCATGTGATGGTATATGCAATAGACAAAATTGGTATGAATTACAAAGAAAAAGCGACTCTCGCTATACCAACATGGTATTTTTGCTATTGTTATACATGTAGTGAGAATCTCATTGTCGGAATTATTTATATACAGATTGGTGGCTAGTGTTTAATAAATTTTGCGTTAAAGTATCACACACCCCAATCACACATAACGATAATAATTCTATCTAAAATTCTAACATGTTATATTTTAGATAATGAAATATTTATATATGTTGTATCTCAAATATCAACTTGTCTCAGATGTCACCTGAGGCATCTCAAATGTAGATCATAATGTGAGATGTCTCAGTTGAGCATATAATTCAATTATTACGTGATTGTTAAAAATTATCAAATATAGAGATTCACTAAAGCCAGGTAATATCATGTGATTTTGAATTCGATCCGGATCCTGATCATGTGAAAACTTCACGTGCTAAGTAATGATTGGCTAAATAATTTTGATCAATAAACAAAGCAAGATAACATTTTTTGAATAAATTAATTCATAATAAAAGTACTAATTATAAAGTTGACAAGCAATTTTACAATATTTTGGTTAATAACAAAAATAAATTAAAAATTTTATTTATTATTATTTTCAAAATTACTTTTATTTAAAGACTTATATTTCATTTAAAATATCAATGAAAAACATAAAATACTCAAAGAATTCATTGAATCCAGTCACAATAAAACCAATATAAAGAAACTAAACACTTGAAAAACTCTTACTAATCCTAATTAATATCAATGATCTCAAAATAATATTCAATCAATTTTGTAATTTAAATACAAAAAATATTTATCTTGATTAAACAAATTAAATGAATTTGAATTTACAAAATTCTAAATACAAATTAATAAAATATTGTTATCTTACAAATTATTTGGTATTTTGTGATTTTTTATATATTGACTTTGAATAATTTTTAATTTTGTTGATCTAAATACAAAAATATTTAGCTTAATTATAAAGTAATTATAGATCACAAAAATCTGATTATATATTCTAGAAATATAAATATTTAATATTATTACAAGACTAAATTGAAAATTAATTAAAATTTATAACATTATTAATAAAATAAAGAAACTAGATATTTATCAATAAATATTAAATACTCATACTTAAGAAACTCAGTATAAAACTGGTTATATAAGTTATTATTAAAAATTTAATTATCATTTTTATTTTGCTGAAGTTGCAAATTTTTTTAGATCACAATCAATTTTTAATTTAATTTTATATTAGTAATATTATTAGTAAATATTTAGTACTTTTTTTCATTGATAAGAGTTCCAACTAGAATTTGCTAAACTAAATAGCAAAACAAAAAATATTTATTTATTTTTATTTTAAATGATGTTAAACAGAATTTAGTTAATTATTAAATATATTATAAATATAGATTATATATTTTAAATCAATCCAAATAATTATAAATTATCTGAGTTAACTTAATTCTTAATTCACTATCTTGTTTTAGTATTCTCTTGCAATTGAAAATAAAATAATTATATTAGCAAATAAAATAAAAAAATAATATTGAAGAACTTATTTTATTTTTGAAGAATCAGAATTTAGAGCTTAATAAGATTATTATCAAAATTTTAGAAAATAAAAAACTTAATAATTTTGTCTTTATTAATATAATCAAAAAGAATTTTAAAATATTAGTTTAGATTTGGAATTTGTAAAAAATCTTTTAAAGTTCATCAAGAAATATAAAGAAAAAAGAAGTATATATTCTTTTTGTACAAGATTCAAAAAGACTTGAAAGAAATGTTAGCAAAAAATGAAATTAATAATAATGAAATAGGTATAATCTGTAATTTTTATCAAGTAAATTTAACTTATTAAACATGAATTAATATGTAAAAGTATTTGCTAACTTTTTTATTTCATATTTTAAAAAATCTATTTATTCAAAGATGAAAATAAAAAGTTGCAATAATATATAAGAAAAATAAAGTATAGACTAAAAATTATATGAACTATATTTATTAATAACAATCAAGTCATATAATATAAATATATTTTAGTTATTCTTTATATTTCACTTTATATTATTAAAAGAATAATTAATAAAGAACTTATTTGATTTTTTAGCTTGTTGATAAAGAAAATATTAATTAAGTTAATTATATAATCAAGATTTTCAAAAAATTTATTTGTATTACAAAAAGAAAATTATATCAAGTAATTGTGAATTTTACTCAAAATTTGATTTAATGTGAAAGTATATTATAGGTAAATAAAAATAAGAGAAAGCATAAGTCAAGTGAAGTATTTGAAAATAACTTTAATTATATTTATAGAATTATTATAATAATTACAGATTGATATTTTATTTTATTTATCTTAGATAGAATTTTAAGTATAGTCAAATTTCTCTATACTTACATCTATTTATAGTTATATCTATTTATAGTTATATCCATTTATAGTCACACCTTTCTATAATCACTCTATTTTGCTTTTTCATTTATATATAAATATAATAAAAAAATTTCTCTATAATTACATCTTCTTTATAGTTATTAAATTTTGCTTTTCTGAGAATAATAACTATAAAAAAATTTGACTGTATAAATAAAAACTCTTTTAATATTTAGTTTTCTAAATTTGCTTTAAAAGAAAGTTCAAAAAATTATATAAAAATGTAAAGTGAGTGATAAAAGTTATTGTTAGATTATTAAAGAATAAAATAAATATTGAAAAAGAACTATCAATAAAAATATAATAAATTTAGAAATATTTTGAAAAAGAATAATTATGTATATTATTATTATTTTTATATAATTTAAGTTATTTATACATTATTCATATATATTTATTAACTAAAAAAAACTAAGTTTTTATAATGAGAAAAACTAAAAATTATAATTAAAAGTAGATAATATATATTTATATTATAATAACTAGAATAATTTCACTAAATTTTACATATTTATTTTAAAACTTTAAAAGTTATAATACAAATAATAAGTTTATTAAGTAAATATCTTTCAAATTAATAACAATAATTTATTATAAGCAATTTATTTTTTAAAATCAAAAACTCATACAAATATAATTTTATAAGTTATTTAAAGTCCTATTAAACAAGAAACTTCTTGAATTATTAATTATTTAATCTAAAATTTAAAAAACTTATTTAATTCTATATAAAATATATATTATATTTATAATAATTACTTATAATACTTATATTATTAATTTGTAAATTAATATTATTAATTTTGTAAAGTTAATTTTATTAATAGTATTAATCTTATAAATTATTTGATTATAAATATTATCAGTATTACTTGATATTTATATAAGTATTATTAGTATTATTAGTATTATTAATATTGCTAATATTATTAATATTGTTAATATTAATATAAGTATTAATGTTATTGTTATTATTAACACAAATAAAGAATCAATAATAAAATACTAATTAATTATTCAATTAAATTAAAACTAATTTTTAATTAATAAAATATAACAAAATCTTATTTAATTAAATTATAATATGAATTAATTAACAAATAAGAACTAAATATTCATATTATAATAAATTTTTCTTTGTTAAAAATTTTACTCTGTAAATTAAAAATATAAACTAATAAAATATATATAAAAATATAATTAAATATATATTGGATTTCAGTTTTTTATGTTTATTATAAGATACTGAAAGACTTTGTTACTCAGCTATATAAACTTAGTTAGTTATAATAATTATCATTAGTTTAAGAAATAATAAATTTGAAAGTGAATAATAAAAATAGGATCTTATCTTATATATAGATATTATAATAAAGATTCTTTAATAAAACTATAATAATATATTATTGTATAATGATCTTTCATCATAATATTTCATATTGGATTATACATATTTCATATCTTATTGGATAAAAGTCAAATCACGTGAAGTGAGCGAACAAGCGAACAAGTGAACAAGCAAATGAACAAATAAATAACTAAATGAATAAGTAAACAAATGAGCAAACAAATAGAATTTAAGTGATATAGTGAACATGAATTTGTATAGCTGATAAATTATATCTTGAATTTGTATAAAAGCAACATGTATTATAGTTATTAGAATTAGATATGAACAAGTTCTTTTAGATATTAATTCTTAATTATTATATTTAATTAGTTATCACATAGTTTTGATCATTCAAAAAAGTAAAATTTGCACTTTATATAGAGTAGATAGTCAAGTGCAAATTCCTTTCTATACTCTTTTGACAAAGTATTCATTTTCTTGTATAATAACTTTATAAGAAGTTATATAGACCTTGAATTAATATATATTATAGTAGCTTAAACAAAATTGTCAGAAGCATTATAAAAGTTATCATTTTTATTCTAGATTTTCTGAAAATATTGTGATAAAGTCTATTGAATATTATATTAAATAAAGAAATTATTATTATAATTCATA